ACGAAAGGCAGATCGCAGCGAGTCGGGCTCGAAAACCTTAACCGCTGCGGCTATCTCTGGCTTTAGGCCAGCCATGCACAACCCAACCAAGGTCTCCTCCGACACTCCCTTGCATTGATTGCCCAGCTTGAAAAAGTCCGCCTTGTACTTCACTATTGTCCCAGTCTGGCGCAGCTTAGCAGTTGCTCCGGCGCCCACCCTTCTGATTTGCCAAACTGATATCGCAGCTCTTCCTTGAACAAGGGCTAGGTGATCAAGGTCTGCGCAGCTGCGCATGATCGCTCCAGCCACTCCCGCCACTGTAACGCGTCTCCCTCAAAGTAGAAGGACGCTAGATGCGTCTTCCATTCTTCCTTGGTGGGATGATTCTTGAACCACCTGTCAGATGCATACAACCGCAGACCTGCATCCTCCTAACCATTGAATTTTGGGAACTCAATGGTAGGGGGTTTGGCCCTAAACACCAGATCGCCATCAAAGCCGCGAGGATAGCTGTCATACTTGTCGTACCCCGGAACTCGGTCGTGATAGCCCCGCGGTCCCGGCGGCCCTCTGCTTCGGCCCCACTCCTCTTCCTCCTCGAACGGGTACTCCGCATACTCGTCCAGACCAGCCTTCCGCGCCTGACTAGCATCCCATTGCTCTGCCGGTGAACGGGGACCATGAACTGGCGGGTAGGAGGGTACCGAACCTCTGCCGAGATCTCTTCTGATGCCCGACTCCCGTTCGCCTGATCTGCCCAGGAGCTGGTCCGACCTGTTCAGCCCGCTGGTTTGTATCGGTTCAACCCCACCCGAGCCAACCCACTCCGGTCGACCCGCCTGGTTCGGCCCTGCCCACACCCGGGCGGTCGATCCGACCCCCTGCCCGCGCCCCTTCCCATCGGCCCTCTTCCGGGCTCGGTCCAATTCCAGGCCCTCTGATCCGGGCCCAGCTCCTCTTCCTCGTCCAGGCTCAGCCACCCCAGCCCATTGGGTTCCCTGCCTTGGCCCATGGACTCGTGCGGCCCGAAATTCAGCTGGGGGCCCACATCGTCGTACCCGGGCATCTTCGCCTTGCCCTTCATGACCGCGATTTCTTGGGCCGACGAGGTCGGCAACAGTCGCGACCCACGACCCCGCCCACGCCCCGCCGCCGCCGCACGATCAGCTCGGGGCAGCATTGTGTCCGCCGCCCTACCTCCCTCGGCCATGGCGGACGCTGCGTCTGCCTGCGTCGCCGCCGCGAGCGCCCCGCCCCGGCCACCGCAATCGCCGCGCCAGCCTACGCCGACGTCGCCTTTGTCGCGGTTGTCCCGCCGACCGCCGCCTCGACCCCGCTCGGGAACGTTCCCGCGGTGGTGGCTCCTCTGCCCGCCGCGCCAGGTGCGCCCCCCGGTCGACCGCCATCTCGGCCGAGTTCGGCGTTCCCCCTGCTCTGTTCCCCTTCGCCTGTAGCGAGGCAACCGCTCGCATCAGGTCCTCAGGCCTCTGACGAAGATCATCAGCATCTGCCTTCGCGCCGGCCTGCACTTTCGCCAGGCTTTCTTCGAACCGAGCCAGCGCATCAGAGTGCTCGTGCACCACCACCTTCACCGCCTCCAGCTTAGTTTCGTCCTCCACCACCCCATTGAGCCCTACGTCGGCCGCCTTGGTGCTTTTCTCAGCTGCCTGAGCCGCCTTCTCTGCCGCCTTCATTGACTTTGTCGAGACCATCGTTGCCTTTCCTGGTTCAAGAGCCCAAAAGAACTCACTCTCGAGCCAGGCTCTGATACCATATGTTAGAAACAAGGTTTCTAACGTGATCGGGATTGGGGAAAATTAGCTAGATCAACTGGGAATTGACCTAGATAGGGATTTGGGATTGGCAATTTTAGAACAAAGGGAGAGGGAAGAAGCTTGCTACTGCCGCAGCTTTTGGGAGAGGAGAGTGAGAGGGGAAAGACGCAGGGGAGAGATAGAGAGAGATGGATTAGGTTTTAGGTTTTTGTTCTGTAATTGCTTAATGAAAATAATACCACTAGTACAGATTATATAATCCGCATAATCTCTATCTCCTACCCAACTAATAAAACATAACAATCGACCCTTGTTTATTTCCCGAATACCCCAAATAATCCCCCAATAATAAAAAACCGACAATAATACGAAATAACCAAAAACTGCAAATAATGTGTTTCATACACGTAGACTTGTCTTTGTCATAAGAAATAAGATATCCTACATTCAACGGAGTATATCATTAGAAGTTGGTTCCAGCCTAGTGATCATACGCTTAATGTCCGGCCTTTATTCGCAGGGTATAATTCTTGTGGGAGACTCAAAATTGGTGGTTCATTAGCTCACTTAGGGGTGGGCAATGGGAAACGGGTATTTGGGTATACCCGTACCCGTCCCGTTTTTTAAGGGTTACGGGTACCCATATTACCCGTAATATTATAAACGGATGGGACTTGGGATTGTACATTCCTAATATGGGTACCCGCGGGTTGCCGCAAATACCCGTTTGGGTAATATGGGTACCCGTTATACCCATTCAATACAAAGGCAGAAATTCATTTCAGCCTAGCCCAATTCACTAATTCAGAACCCATTGGCCATTTCGGCCCTTACCCTTTCAATTCCATTTCGGGCCCTTACCCTTTCACTTTCAGTGAGACTCAGCGAGTCAGCGTCTTCAAAGCGAGAGACCTAGCTCGACTTCCTCCTTCATTCACCGCCGCGGCTTCCTTCATTCACTCTGCTGCGCCGCCTCCATTCAATAGCAGACCAGCATCAGCCAGCTAGGAGCACCGCGAGAGCGATCAATGGAGCTAATCAGAAGTGAGTGAATCGAAACGAGCAACAACCATAGTTCTAAGAGCTGCAAGCAGAACCTATAGACGATTCGGTCGAATTGTTCCTTCTCTGTAAGGGGTCAGAGTGACAACTCCAAGGCACGGGAGATGTTTCCATGTACAGTTGCTTCAGTTCAAACTTCCCAAAAACACAGATCTAATGGGTTCAACACCGAAGCTCAAGGTATGATATGAACAAGGACAACGATCAAGAAACTCAAGAGCAACAACTGTTCACTTCGGCCCGGCAAATTCGCTCATCATTTTCGCGATTACGGGAGTGACCTTTGGGTTTAATTGGTGCTTCGTGAGGTTGGCAGGGGTCTTCATAACTAAATGTGTAATTTGCAAACCAAGTATTTGTGATTGGGATGGATTTTGTGTCTTGTGATTGTTAAGCAAGTGCAAGTTAAGTTTAAACTTTTGTTAAAATTTTAGTGGTTTAAACTTTGGGTATTTATGGGTAGTATGGGTACCCGTTATCCGTCCCGTACGGGTTATGGGTACCCGTTTCCCATATGAGTTTGGGATATGGGAAGGACTTTGGTCTCCAAATGGGACTGGGTACCCGTTTCAAATGGGACGGGTATCCCGTCCCGTCCCGTTGCCCACCCCTGAGCTCACTCGTGGTATGGCTTCCAGTGTGGTGGACAATTCTATTTTTTTGAGATTATCTTCAGATGATGTCAGCTCGGTTAGGATTTAGAACGATCGCAAGAACTGTCAATTGAGATGCATCATGAAGTGGCACGGTAAAACATTTTTCTCTAAGTGTATAATAACGTGGAAAATAAATAACATCCAGAATAAATTCATTTCATTCTGCAGATTTAGAACTCAGAAATGATATGTACCTTTTGTTTAGTTTTGTTTTCCCCAGCAACTTGCTAGTTGCTGCTATTAATAATAAGTGCTGCACTGGCTGCTGGCTGGCTGAGATGGTAGGTGCCCAGTTTTTTTCATTTTTTCAAAGGTATCAAAATCAAAATCAAACCAAACCCCACACTCCTTCCCCCTAAATTCCTCTTCCCCCAGCCCTCCTTTTAATTGTTTCCCTTTTTCTATTTGGTCCCATCATTTTCATTACTATACTCTTTTTCTTTTTTTGTGTGATTTCTTGGGTTCAAACTGTATTTATCAAGAGAGGTCTGGGAATAATGATTTTTTTGTTTATATCCATAATGATTAAATATAAGTGAGCAGTGAGTGAGTGGGTTCATTTCACTGTGATGAACTTTGGTTTGCATAAAAACAGATATTTAAAAAGGACCAAGTTGAGGGGCTCCTTTTAATTTTTAAGCACAGAGACGAGGAAAGGCGGTGCTGCTGTATAGAAAACTAATATCCCCTCCAGAATTCACGCCTTCTCCTGTGTCAACAAGGTAGTTGGCTTATGGGAGCAAACCCAGAAGCACAGCGACCAGCTTGGTTGAAGTTTTCCAATTTGGTTCTAGCTTACTTCATAGGCTTATGAAGTTACCGCAATCTACAATATGATCTTATATCATTAATCAAGATGGAATTTTTCAGTAAACGATTATTAGTTCTGCTAGCAAAACATTGGTTGGATGTATGTTGCAGTCTATTGGTTGGACATCATTAACACGAGTGAAAATTCATAATTGCATACAAATTTTGTTGACCCTTTTGATAAATTCAAGTGTTCTAATAATTACTCCGTGTCGTCTCTAATACCATAACTGCACGAAACCAAATTATGTATTTGCAAATACATCTTACGTTATAGCAAATAATATCAATTTACAAATACATCGACCCAAAAAAAAAAAACGACTGAATAATTTGGATGGCTTTTCTTTGAGAAGAGTAGATTGGACTTTGGGGTAGGTTCCTTGGAATTACTGATTATTCAAACACCACCAATCCCTCAACCCTTGCACCATATTATGGAGTCTGATTACCAAAATCCGGAAAAACACTTTTCCCTGTTGGATTCCCTTTTTCCCGTAGCCTACTAGAGTAGCTTAAGAATCTTCTATATTTGGGCCCTATTCAAGACCAGGGCTTTCTTCTGCTACTGGACCTATGCAAGCTTCCATGGTGGCCCAGCAAACTTGAGTCCTCACAGCGCCTGGACTGGTCTCTCTACTTCTTCATAATCATCACTACAAAACCAAAGCTGCTCTCTGCCTACAAACTGCTGAATCAATTTACACACACACAGTCACTCTTCTTCGAAGTCCATTAGAAAGTCGGTCAAGTTCTCAGAATCATCTATGGCTTCATCCAGATTCATGGCACCCTCCTTCTTGGCCTTGGGCTGCAAGTCCCACCAAAAAGAGAGCAGGAATGAGAAACCCCGCAAAGGCAAGGAAAACCAGCAGCATGTTTTAGTGAAAAGGAAAGCATAAGAAAAATGGGTTCTTTGGGTTCTTCTTCCAGTCAACAATGAATGATTGGCTTGAGTTCTCCTCCTACTTCAGTAGGTAGTTCGGGAGAAAAGATTCGCTCGACAACCTACCTTTGATTTGCGAAGTTCAGGAGCGGTTTTCAGAACGCTCCAATTGCGGGAAGTTTGCTGTCTTCGTCTTCCTCTTCAACATCACTGGTCTCTTCCTCCTCCTTCACAAATGTGACCGGCTTTCTAGTGTTAGTAATAAAATGAGGCTGATAGTTTCCACGTTGCGCAATGCATAATGCTGTTCGTAGGAATGAAGAGAAAAGTTGAAACTCACATCATTTTCACCAATGTCTACCGCTCGTGCCATGGCGTCATCCATGTCCGTCAACTGCTAATTCAACATTAAGAGGAAACAACATGCATTAGATGTTAAGTTCCGGGACGAAATTATAGCACATGGAAGGTGCAATAAATGACAGCACGATAGATGGTTTGCATGAGAGTTGAGTTTTCTTGCAAACAAGTCATGTGGGAAAGAGGAGGGTCAGAATGACTTACTTCAACTTGTTCCGTCTTTCTTTTGCTAAAGTTTGTTCAAGTTCGTGTCTGGATATGAGCTTGCCATGCTGATCAAAACAGAGGGTTAGCACTTTGCAATCGTCACAATCAATCGATCGATAAAATAACAAAGAAGGTCCAAGCAGGTTAGTACGTAGAAAGTTGAAGCAAGGGTTATGAAGTGGTTATCTTTAAAAATGTTGCCTTTTCTAATATTCTGCATCCGACAAACTCATATATACTAGTCAGACCACTTAATCTAACAGGATTCAATTGTTGAATATACATTATTAGCCTCAAGAAGTCGTATCATTTATTAAATCATATGCTTCATGGATGTGTGTACATATTTTTCATCAGACTACAAGTGTTCCCCACTTAAAAATCTAGCCCTGAACCGAAGACTTCAACAGACTGGCAATCATTCAGATGTTAGCAAGCACTGATAATTACTCGTATCAGGTTTCGACAATCATGCACATAAGCAATCCGTCATAAAGCACGTCAGCTTAAGAGGTCAAGCTTCAACTTTATAACAGCTGATCGCTCAATACAGCAAAGAGAAACTAATCGAAGATATATAATAAAAGGTAACTTCATCACTATATCGAGACAAGATTGTGAACCTCTTTTAGGTATGCCACCATATTGGGTGTTGGTTCATGAAAATCTGGACCCCTGTAATCAATGATTTCATTTGGATCCTGCTTGTAGTTGATTGTTGGGTAAACTGGATCTCCACCCCAAACTGCACAACCAATAAAAATGTCAGTTACAAGAGGAGACAAAAGCGAGAAACATGAAAGCAAACACTTCTCATCTTTGTTTCTCCTCTGATGCATCAAACAGATAACACCAGTTTGGTTCATTTCAACATATGGAACTGAGCAGTTCTAAACACACAGTATCACTTTCTAATCAACAGGATGGGGGATCCACATAAGACAAATCGAATAGAATCAATTACTTTGCTTTATTTGATCTTCTTTGAGCCGCATTGCTAAAGGATCCCTCTTGATGCGAATATCAGTACCCATCATTATACGATATTCTCTATCAGTTTGATAGCTGAACATTTCCATTAGTTGCATGGTTTCATCTTGGCCAGTCTCCTGAAAATGCTCTCTACAGCTTCGCGTGAAGTGTCTCTCTGCCATGCTTTCACCCATTCTGAATAGTATGCCATCGGGCCTATTCTTTCCAGTTTTTCCTGCTCAAGTCGAAGCCTACCCATTCATTGGAGACAAACTACAATCAGAGATAGATTCTAGATAGTGAATCATTTATCAGGTGAAAGACACCCACAAGGGCTGAAGCAATACTGATGTTAGATAGTGAATCATATTCTGCTTCACTGAGTTAGATAGTGAATCATATTCATGAGGAAGTACATCTACCAAAGAAAGAACACCATGCCATGTTAACAGCTATGGCTAACTTTAAGCCATCGAGTCAAAATAGAACTTGAGATAGAAGATCCCCGGTTGCTGTTACCTTTCCTCCTTAT